TGGAGAAACACCACAAGAGGAAAAGACTAAAGCTTGATAATGATGATGAAGATGATGATTTAAAAAAAAAAAAATTGTCCATAGCTAACAAAAAATTTAAAAATTTATTTTAACAACTAAAGCCTTTTTTGGTATAATTATTTTTTTGCCATAAATATATACGCATAGATTAAAAAAATTAAAAATGTATTGTGTTAAGGGGATAGTTCGATTCCTTGCAAAATGACATCGATGAAAGCGCATTAAATCACTGAACTCTTGAAGTTATGCATGAATTTGAAAAAAAATTTTATAAGTGTCTTATTCCGAATAAAACTAATCAACACTTTTCTAGCGGGTGATCTATATAAGCGCAGCTTTATTGCATAGCAATAAAGTTTATATATAATTAAAAAAGCTCTTTTATAAACAAGGAATACACTTACAAAGACCCGTATTTTTACTGATCCGGTCAGCTAGTTTATATTTATCAGTATAGTATTTGTTAAAATACAAGTTTGTATTTTAAAAATACCTTTTTTTTAGTAGCGTAAAGCATTATTGGATTGATATACGGACAAACATTACACAGAAACAATAAAATTTCTAAAAAACACAAGTGGTTGTGGAATTGATGTTAGGAAAAAGAAACAATTTGATGCAGTCAAAATGTTACAATATTCTCCCTCAAATCTTGAATCAATCTGATAGATCAGACTATCTAAACCCACATTAAAAACGTTAACTTCGAATTCTTTTGTTTGACTGTCGTGGAAAAAAGCAAATGTTTGATGATTCATCGTGAAAAGGCTTATAACCTGTAGTAATTTTAATTTAACAGTCTGCTGTATAAAATTTCAAAGTATTTTCAATATAATTTTAAGTATATTTACTAATAGTTAATAAAAAAATTATTCTTTTATAAAAGTAAAGAGCATTTATATATTTAAAACATAAACTTAGGTATGATGATAAACATAATAATGTATATTATATATAAATAATAAAAAGTTATTAGTAAACATACCTTCCTGGCTACTTTCCTCCACCTTGCATTATGTCAGGTAATTGATCTGCTGCAAGACCTTATCCAGATATTCTATTACTTCATTTACTGTTTTTGAGCCATGTTAAATTTGAACTAAGTTTTAAATAAGATCTTATTTTTGATTCCATAGTGCAATTCCATTGAGCAGGAATTGCAATAAAAATACATACAAAAAATCAAAGTTTCACAAGAATACTTTGATCTCAATAACTGATTCAATTGCGTGTACACCAGCCAAATTCAGACGGTGAGTGCTTCAGGGAACGTACTAAGCTTCCGAATAAATTTGTGCTATTGAGGCCTAAGCTCCCTTTTAAGTACCTAACATATTGGATCCATTATCGTACCCTTGACTGTGACAGTTTTAAATATCCAAACCTAGCCCAGCAATTACATCAGTAATAAGCTTTACTGTATTGACTCTTTTCTTCTTCTCGAATACTTCAACACACAAATGTCGTTCTTTGATTTGCCAGCAATTAGTTTCTTGTTCATAAAGGAGAAAACAAATAACCAAGGTTATCTGCTGAGTGTGAGATGAATAGGAATACCACCAACTATGATAGTGAAGTAAAAAGCATCCTGGATTTCTTTGACAGCTGCAATTTGGATGACTCCAAAACATCTTTTGCTGAACCTATTTTGAGTCAAAGAATAGAGGTACAAATAAGCTCCATACATTTTTTCCAAGAAATTATCCATTTCTTTTTTTCCAACCACGTGTATTGCTTTACCTGCAAATATAATTGTATGTAATAGTTATAATTAAATTATGACAATAATTGTATAAATAATTAAAACTGATATCAAGAGAACTTTATAACAAGTTGCCTAGAAAAGCTGAATTCCTAAAAGCCAAGAAAAGAATCATATCCAAATTCCACAAAGATTTGCCCTCACTTAAGCTGTCTCAGAATTGTTTCACTTCTAGTGCTCTTAATATGTATATATTGTGAGCTGGTAAGACCAATGTATGCCTCTTTCTTAAATTTTTGGTACAATAAACTGGATTGATGCTGCATTAAACAGTCTATGAATTACCTCCCTTTAATCCTAACTCCTCTGTTCCAACTAAGAAAGGACAATTCTCCACTTTTGAATACTGCTTTCGTGTCCAAGTGAGAGCAAAGGAAAGAGTAGAGGGTTTTATTGGTCGATTTCCGAACTAAAAAATCTCAAACAACTTATCAGAAAGTGGGATCTGCATTAATTATTAACAAGTCAGGTCAGCATCAACTATAACCACATCTGTTCTCCTCTGTTGGATAAAGTTACTCCTCCTGACTCTTTGGATAAAGTTCCTCGTTCTGATTATTCACTTTTGAGAAATTTATTTAGCTCAGCTTCAGGTGAGTTGCTTGAGCTACCAACTAATCCAAAGTCCTTTGAATCACACATATTAGGCGGAGCAGGTGGTCTTGAAAGAGGAGGAAAGCTGATTGGTTTCTACTAGTCTTCATAGACTGACGAGGAGCCATGGTCATTTTTGTAGGGATCCTTTAGAAAAAAAGTGAATATTAACAACAAAGATTGTAATACCTGACATAGTTAAAAGAAAAAAATGTGATACAAAATACATTTAACTTACTGTAAGGTTTAAAAGAGAGTTCTGAAAGAGAACTGAATGTTCGGAGAAGAACTCTCTATCCTTTATAGTCTGTCTTTTTTTTTGCTTCTTTTACTGCTTTTTTAAAACTTTTTTGTTAAAACATAATTTTTTGCAGATTTATTTTGTCCCATTTTTAGAAACGCCTAAAATGTTTTGTAATTTATAATTAGTTTATAAACAAAGAATTTCGTATCATATTTCCTCAATTATACAAATCAGAAGTTTTACTCAAAAAACATTTTTTTTTAAAGAATATACATAAATTAGTTGTATTTTAATTACGGTTTTAGCGTTGAAGTTTTTGCAACAGTCACTTTTTCTTATGTATTTGCTTTCTTCCGTTAATAAAAACTTTTCTATTGCCCGATTTTTTTTTTGTCGAAGATACCGTTTAAAATACTTTTATTTGCAGCAGATTTGTTATATTCAATAAATTATAATGAGTCCATAATAGACCGTCACATTAAATCCCAAGGGACACTCCTTTATAAACAAATTAATTGCTTGTTTGGCAACCACAAAAATAATTTAAAACAAAAATTATAATATTTTGTAAACTTTATTTTGGTGCCCCTAGAAGTCTTTACGATCTTATCACAGAGCACCTAATTCCTAACCAATCTTGCCCAAAAACTTACTCAAAGATTGCTTTAAACTGCTCTCATGTTTCTGAGCCAAACCCAGTGGCGTTCCTAGTTATGGTGTCACCCGGGGCGGCAAATAGGGTGTGACCCATATATTATATGTAATTATTTTTATATACGAATTTATTAAAGCAGTATTTAGAAACGTTGACACATGTAATTTCAAACCTTGTTTTCGACAATAATAAGAAAGTTAAGCGATTATATTTTCTAAATAATGATAACTATATCTTTCAGCATTCAGCATTTCGTAGGTCGTGTAAATAAATACCCACTTATTTTTTATGTAAGACTATTTAATTATAAACCAAAATGAAATATAAGATATTAATAAATTGGGTGTCACCCAAAAGCGGATGACACCCGGGGCGGTGAGCCACCTTCCCCCCTCCCCCCGTAGGTACGCCACTCGCCAAAACAATATTTTAAAAAAATTACAAAACTTTTAAAATATTTTTTAAATTATCAACCAATTTTTTTAACCGTAAATTATCAACTATAAAACAAAATAAATTTTTTTGTAAAAAAAAGTTTATAATTGGTTATAGTAATAAAATTGAAAATTGAAAATTTTTTTTCACGTGCATTTTTATTCCAAGTGTTAAAGTTTCAACCTCAAATACAAAAACTAAGCAGATTTTACATTATCAATTATTAAAATGCTATCTATTTTTTTTTTATTATTGTAATTTATTTATTATAAAAAAACAAACAAAAAAAAAACGGGTTGTCCTGTGCCCCTTTTAGCTTGGCGCCTAGGTCAATTTGTCCCATTTGCTCCTCCCTTTCTAAGGCCCTGCTGCTGAAAGAAAAGCAACACTTTTAAGCATTGCAACTTTAGAGGTTTTGATATTTTATTACTTGATGTTTTAACTAAGCCATAAGGTAGTAATAAAACTTGTAATGCTGAAAGAAATAGCTCTGCTTTATACGGCATTTTAACCGATACTTGTATTGCTTTGTACGGCATAACCGATACTTGTACTGCTTTATACGGCATTTTAACCGATATTGTATTATTTTGTATTCATTCATATTGTTTTTGTTTTTTTTTAATTAATTTGTTAAAATAATTTTTAGTTAAACGAAATTAAATGCAATTTCGATTGTAAACAAAAAAAAAAACTGTTTTACTCAAAGTTTTGAACGAAACCTTTTTTACAAAAACAAAGAAAAATCTTTCGTGTTTTGAAAACCTATTAGAAATAATAATAATTAAATAATGTGCAGGTTAGTAAATTTTCATATGAAATTGAATAAAACTTTGTATACTAATCTGATTCGGGCTATTATAAAAAAGTTTAACAACTTTTTTCATATTCTTAACGATTTAGAAATTATTGTGAAAATTGAATGAAATACTTTAACATGCTGGAATAGCTAATAATTGAAATTAATTTAACCTTTCTTAACGTTAGGTAAAAAATAAAATCTTAAAAAAAAAAAAAAATTCTTTTAAATTTGAGTTTTTTTTTTTTTCTCAATTTGTTCGTTATTAATTTAAAAATGTAAGTAAAAAAAATTAATGCAAAATATAAAAATAAAAACATGTTAGAAAAATAATTTGTAGTTTGAAAAATAAATTTTTGTCAAGTTTTTAATTATATTTTTACTTGCTATATAATGATATAAGTAATTACCCTTAAATAATTTACAATGCAGTTTGTATAAAGAGTTTAAGTTAGAAGTTTTGCTGACTAAATTATTTGATTATTTTTAGAAATTTGTTTAGACAGATATTCGGATTTTTGACAATGCCCTTGCTAAGGCTGACATCGTTAAAGATAAGTAGACGTATTGCAATGCTTTTACTAGTGTTATTTATTTGGGAAATTCATCAAATAGTGTATTATGAAGTTAATGGAGGAATTGCTTTCAAAAGGTTAGATAACTGTTGTGAAACACTCAAAATGTGTAAAATTTAAGAATTATCCCAAGTATTTACTTATATAATATATAAGTTAATACGCATACATATACTTAATGAATACGCAATTATAATAATAAGTTTATCTCTCTCTCTATATATATATACTCTCTCTCTCACTCTCTCTCTCTCTCTCTCTCTCTCTCTCTCTCTCTATATATATATATATATATATATATATTATATATATATATATATATATATATATATATATATATAAATATATATGTATGTATATATATATATATATATATATATATATATATATATATATATATATCCATATAGTGTAGTCGAAAGAGCGTTTTAATGTAAAAAAAGTCTTACGACTACAATTTTACGACTCTTACGACTACAATTTTAATTACCTCGTCTCTTAAGCTGTATTTGATTGTCGTCGAAATGTCAAAGCAATTAAATTAATGCGGAAGTACATTAAATTTTATTGTTTTTTAAAAATTTTTTAAAAAACCGCAATTATAACGACTAGAAAGTTTTTTTTTATTAGTGATGTTTTTGTTTTTATTTTATTAAAAAACATTTTTAAAACATGCGTAAATGTTGCTACATCGACTATCTTATAGCCTGACTCGCAACGGAGTGCTGCTACATCGACTGACAAATAGACTGACTCGCAACGGAGTGCTGCTACATCGACTGACAAATAGCCTGACTCGCAACAGAGTGCTGCTACATCGACTGACAAATAGCCTGACTCGCAAGGGAGTGCTGCTACAACGACTGACAAATAGCCTGACTCGCAAGGGAGTGCTGCTACATCGACTGAGGGTTTGGTTTGGGCAGGCAGTCTATCATTTAAAAAAAAAAAAAAATTAAGTTTTTAAACTTTTTCTGGTCTGGTTTATTAACGCGCTCTTTAAAACTACAGTTTATGGGAAACTCTTTTCAACTACCATGCAAGAGTATATATATATATATATATATATATATATATATATATATATATATATATATATATATATATATATATATATATATATATATATATATATATATATATATATATATATATATATATATATATTATTGATTCTTTGACGAGATTAAATAAAAAATAACTACACAATTTTTATTTTATCATCAGGTAAAACTGCATTCTAAAGGTTGCTAAACGCATGAAACTTCAAAAAATAAATTATATAGCTCTGATATCATTTATCGAGCACTCTTGCTGAATATATGCTCATAGCAAAATTAAACTGGTAACGTAATTGTGGCAGGATAGCTTAAAATTTTCACCCCCAATTTTATTAATTTTTAGAAAACTTTAAAATAATAAAGTATTTCAGAACGAAAATGGTTCATGTCACGTACTTAACTATTTTCATTTTAGTTATTAGGATAATGTATTATTATTACCGTAATACGTTCAAAAAAAATTAAGTTTAAGCAAATTGATTTTTTAATATTCAAACTTTATTGGCTAAAACCTATATTAAAAACAAAAAGCAAATAATTAACAAACGAAAAAAAGCAAAAAAGAAAAAGTTAAATTCCAAAGTTGTTAAAAAAAAAAGTTTTTTTACTATTGCCAAATTTACTTCGGAAAATTATCAATCAAAAATATTACACACTAAATCATAAAATCAAAGCAAAGGGAATATTGTAAAGATTTCTAACAAACCAAGGCTACTTGGTTTCTAACAAACAATAAACCACGGCTCTTTGGTTAAACCAAGGGTTCTTATTGAGTACTTTAGTTTACTCCACGGTTTACGTAATTAAAGAGAACTACTTATTTAGTTACAATCATAAAATATGAAATACTATAAAATATGAAGAAGAGAATATGCATAAGAAATAATATCAACTAAGTAATATCGATGTATATAGAATATACATAATTCTTATGTATATACCGGTTTTTACCTCCATTTAAAACAATCATGACAACCATTTAAAACAACCATGACATTCATTTAAAACACCGCGACAATCAATTAAAACAATGTGATTTTCAATTCAAACAATCGTGACTTTCAATTAAAACATTTAATGCATGCGCAACCTCAACATTCTAATTTATTTTAAAAAAAAGGTTTTATTTATATACTTATTTATTTAAATTAATTTTTTAATAATATCATATTAAATTATTTTAATTTGATTTATTTATTTTAGTATTAAATGGATGCCATACTTGTTTTAAATGGATGAAAAGCCCGGTAAGGCGTACACTCATGTATACATATTTATTAAGCTTCAATTATTCCATGCCGTTTAGGTACACATTTTTACATGGCCTTATGTTATTGGTAAAACAAACATAACGTTCATTTAAAACACCCATGATAATCAACACCTTTTTATTATATAATGTTTATTTTGTCTGAGTCAGTAACTGCGCGTTTAGGTACTTTGGGTTAGGCGTTCTCTTCATACTCGAAAGGCCGTGGTTCGAATATCCGTTTGGACAATTTTACTTCTTTTTCTTTAATATCTCGTTGCTCGTATGTTTTGCTGAGACGCCATTCCTCTATATAGAATAGATATCTCTCAACATCAAACCTCTCAGTGTATTTTCTAAGTAAGGCGTACACACGTTTACCGGGTTTTGCATCCATTTAAATATGTCATCCGTTTAAAATTAAAATAAATAACATTAAATTAAAATAAATTAATATGATATCAATAAAAAATAAATTTAAATAAATAAGTATATAAATAAAACCTTTTTTTAAAAATAATATTTGCGCATGCGTTAAATGTTTTAAAAGTCACGATTGTTTTAGTTGAAAATCACATTGTTTTAATTGATTGTCGCGGTGTTTTAAATGAATGTCATGGTTGTTTTAAATGGTTGTCATGATTGTTTTAAATGGAGGTAAAAACTGGTAGAATATACATAAGAAGTAATATCAACTAAGTAATATCAAATAAATAATTCATCTAAGTAATGTCAACTAAGTAAGAGCATGGCCAAGTATGCAATGCACATTGGAAAATAGTTTAAACCAATAGATTATTCGCGTGAAGCGTATTCGGCTTCAATAATTCAACAAAACAAAAAAATATTAGTATTTATAAATCTCTCAAAAGCATTGGACACAACAAGTCATACGTTTTCTTAAGCAACTTATAAACGAAGTAGTTAAAATTGGATATAATTTGTTTTAAAAGTTTCCAATTTTTGTGTTGTGCTTTTTGATATGTTTTTAAACGGCTATATAAACTTTTCACAGTTTTTGGCATTGTATATTTAGTCATTAAACAAATAGACAACTTATTTGTAAAAGAATAATCTACTATTAGCATTTGAAGTGATTTTTTTTCTATTTAGGTTTATCTGATAGAGATTCTAGTTTTTAAGACTGATTGTCTCTGTAAAAGCTAGGCAGACAGTTAGAAAAAAGCAGACCGGTATTTGCTTTAAATAATAGACAAAGTGACAAACACGAAACATAAGCCAAACATTCAAACAGGTGTTAGGCAGTGGTTAGTACGCTTACTTTAGAAGCAAGAGATCCAAAGACATATTTTACGCCATCGGTTAGTAAAGAGATGTGAACTTCCGTAAAAATAAAAGCATTGATTTCAATTTAGAAATAATGTTACGTAGAATCTTAATTTAGGGGATATTAGGGTAATAGCGAACACGGGGTAACTCATAACATGGTCAAAACAACATAACAGAAAAAAAATTGGACAATTTCCTTTTACCTGCTGAGAGAAGGACCCATGCTTAGTTCCAAATGTGCGGTAGTGTAATGAAGTTGCAACTGTTTCTTACGAAACATTTCAGTTGTACTGCTATGGATATAAAACTATTCGTTTTGTTGGTTTTGTTGCATATCATAATGAAGGGGTTTTTAACGCGTATTATAATTAAGGTATGTTAATATAACCTCAATAGATTAAATTTATTCAATTATTCATGTCCGTAAGGAAATAACGAACGATCTTTCGTTCGTTATTTCCCTACGTATAAAGTGTCACATAAAGTATTTCCAAACATATAAAGTGTCAACACATAGACTTCAGGCGGCCAGTGTCATATAAAGTGTCATATGAAGTATTTCCGAACATATAAAGTGTCAACACATAGACGTCAGGCGGCCAGAACATTATTGTTTCTAACTTTTTACACATTAAACTTTGACAGATAAAGTGTTCAAAAGTGTACCTAGTTTGCCAAAATAAGAAAAACTGAAAAGTTTTAAGAAAAAAAAATTCCCAACTACTGGTTTGCCATTGAGGAGTATTTTAGAGCAAAAGAATGATTACCATTATGTAGAGAAAAAAATTGGTACCCGAGGTGATACAAAAACAGAAAAAGACCGAAACTGTTAGAAAAAATATTTAAGAAAATAGAAATTCAATAAATGATTCATTCAACAAATTAAATAAATAATAAACAAATAAAATTTGTCTACAATAAAAAAACAACATACATTCTATTTCTAAAAAAAAAAACGAGAGCCGAGAGGCACTCGCTTTCTGTGGTTCCGGCTCTACCAAGAAACAGCGGTTCCACGGCTCCGGCTTAGGCACGACTCCACAAGGCTAGTTGAAATATTAAAATAAGTTATTTTTTTCAAATAAATTGCAACAAAAGTCATAAATTAATTTACATTAGCTTTCTGTTTTTTAACATCTTTTAAATATGAATAGAGCAAATAAATATGAGAAGGGCCGCTTCAGCAACGGGACAATTTATTTCCAGAACTCAATAATTAAGGGACTGCCTTAAACACTTGCTATATATCAAAGTCTTTACAATCATATTGATGGGATCTTCTAAAACATATGTCCATATTTGGGCTATATTGAGTTATGAATGTTGAAATGTCAATCTTGATGAGTGGAGATAAATTCAAATATTATGCACAGAAATGTTAAAGTAATACAATAAAACAACAATTGTAATGTGTTTTTAAATATATAAATTTGTATTCGAGTTTAAACATTTAAAATCGTTTTTTTCACAAGCCTCT